TATCAATAACACGTCAATAAAAAGAAACATAATCTTAATTTTGATAAAAGTTACTCTGTACATAAATACAACAGTGCTTTATGGGCCTAGAAGCAGTCCCTATTTAAATACACGTGCAAGGCTGTATTCGGTTGTCCTCAATTTTGGTCAACCGAATCGGAATAAGTCAACCCAAAAACCATCCACTAATTAATTTCCTATAAAATTAGGCCCTTTTGCTACGTCAAATCATGCAAATCTCCATCACACTCATTCCTAATCAACATCCTAAAATCACTAACCAAAAACTAAAATTACAAAAAATGTTACAAACCCAATAAGAATTTGACCCCAAAAAATGTTACAAACCCAATTAATTTTTGAGCCTTGCTAAATTAACCTCACTTTTGACCCTCATTGCCGTCACAGATATTACAGTCCATGTCTGTAATGTCGCTGAGAGCAATGAAGGTCAAAAATGTCATACTCTATAAACAAACTATAAATGTCTTGTAGAAAATGACTTTCTTTGCATGATTGTCCCTGATAGTGTCAACCTTAGTCTCATGTATGGGATAGAAGTAACATTCTCCGGAAAAGAATGACAAATGGCAAAAAACACCCCCATTCGGCGTGAACAAATTCAACATTATACGACGTGTATGTCCGAAGGTTTGGGACGATCGTCGTCTTCTTCTACGACAAGCTTAGCCTTAGATTTGGGCTGGGCACGCGATGCCGACGAGGAGAAACTGGAGCCGGACGAAGATACCGCTCTGGACTTCTTTCGTCTCTGTTTCCTTGTCGGAATGGCGGGGCCCACACTGATATCTCTCGAAGATGTCGAATCATCTTTGCAAAAGTCGGGTGACGATGGTTTACGACCAACGTTACCGATTGATGACGAAGTAAAGTCGGGCCCGGACTTGAACTCTTTCATCTTCTCATTCAGTTTCACATAAAAGAAAAGTCTTGTTTTAGAAGACTAATACTTCTGCATCTAATTCTAGCTTTGTTTGAACACTAATAGATGGAAGGGCATGTTAGTCTATTGTTTGTGTGTGTGTGCGCGTGTGTGTGTATCATGTGAATTAATAAAACTAAATTATACTACAAAGATTTGATATATACATACCCAAGTAGGTGCAGAGCCTGCAGATTGGCCATCCCATCCAATGTGTGCTACATGTTTTACATCCGTCGGGAATCCAATCTCTATATCGTCCTCCTTCACGACTATAAACATTTACACATTTTTTTCAATTTTTTTCTGTATAGGTTTGTACGAAAAGAAAATCTAATTTACACGAAAAGAACGAAACTGGAAAGGGGAAATTAAAGGCAATACCAAAAATATTTGATATGTATTTGAATCCCGCCTTGAAAGTCCCCTTCATCATGGCTTCCATGAAAGAGACCCAAACAAATATGCCCAACCTAACGGTCTTCTTCTCCGATGAGAGTTTTGCAATTAAAGCTTTTCCTCTTTCTGCCGTCGTAAAATTTTCACACGGAATATTTAATCATTATTTATCATGTTCTGTATGGATCGGAATCAGAATAAATGAATGAACGATGAAGAAAAGAAATTACCTTTTCAAAGATAAAACAATGCAAGTATGGTAGACAAGAAAGGAGATGAAAAAAGACAACTTTTTTCCACTCTTGTCTTCACAATGCCATTCCTCATAACCTTCCTTCAGATATTGTCAAATGATATTCTTCTTGAAATCTTCATGCAAAATAACCAACATGGTTAATAAACATAGCGACTAGCGAGGAGCCGAGGATAGAAATATTGGAAACAAATTATTAATAAAAATTATAAAGGGCGGATCTTTGCTAAAAGAATCTCAATATCTATAGGGTTCATAGTGTTTTTTTCTCCTGGTTTCCAAGGGGGGGAAATGGTTTTGAGGAGAGAGAATGTAGAAATAAAATGAAGAAAACAAGTCAGAGGAATGTGGGGTAAACAAAAATAAAGTCTGGTAGATGGTGGACAGCCACAAAACCCCCAAAGGAAAGGTGTATGTGTGTGTTAGGGGTCATAGGTAAATGTGAATTAATAACACAATAACAAAACCCCATGTTGGGGGACAACAACGGTTATTTCCAAATGACCCATGATGAGCATTGTGGACTAACTGCTACTCCATCAGTCCCAAAATGAAGTTTCCATTGCGATTTATGATATTTGGCTGAGGTTGTTTTTTATTAAATTTATTGGAAAATTTGTGTGAAATTCAAAAATAAAAAATACATAGTATATATTCAAAAACTACATCAAAAGTTCTACGAAACAAGAGAGGAAAAGACTATACTCCGTATTATTTTATCAAATGAGCAATGAAAATAAAAAAAGAAAGTTGAAAAAGTTTGACCATGTGAATAGTGAAAAAAGAGAGTTATTTTGGAACGGTGGGAGTACTTCACTATAAAAGAAACGCAGACAGTTTTAAAAAGTCATTATGTTTTATTCCACTTTACCTACAAAGGACGACCAAGTAAGCAAAAACAAATCCTTCAATGGACTACAGTAGTTCTTACCTCTTGGGGGCATTGTTGTCATAGAAAAGTCTGCCATGTCTTCAGAACCTCACTTGAAACCAGAGATCAAGTGCTTATATTTTTTCGCGTCAGGTTTAAGCCCCATATCCAGCATCTCATCATGCAATCTCATGGCCTTTCTGAAGTTCTTTTCAACGCAAAGCCCTCTAATGATGATTGAAAAACTTCCACTACTTAACGCATCATGGGTTCTCATGTAATCAAATATCCTGATAGCTTCTTCAATCTTTTTTTCTCTAAACAACCCATTGAGCAGTTTAATATATGTGTTTACATCAAAATTACCATCAAGTCCCTCAACCTTAGTGTGCAATGAAATGGCAGAATTGGTCTGTCCACTACAGCAATAATGCTTCACCAACAAGCTAAAACATGACGACTTTGGCAAAATTCCTTTGTTTAAAACTACATTCAAAAGCTCCTCGGCTTGTTTCCACCAACGGTTTTGGCATTGAGAAGTTATATATGTAGAGATTTGGCCAACACAAGGAGCCAATGTTAATCCCCTTTCTATTAGTCCTTTCAACAATCTGCTGACATCCTCTGATGGACTCTCTTCGCAGAGCATCTTAAAAAATGGCAAAAGATATCCATCACCAATGACATCATTTCTCTTCGCCACCACCGAATCAAAGAAGTTAATAGCATCCTTTACTCGTCTTGCATTTGACAGTGATTTTAAAACAGATCCATAAGTTGTTCCTTGAAGCCCAATCTTCTCCTCATTAGCTCTCGTGTAAAAAAGCTCTGCAGCAAATGTCTTCCCCGAATTGGAAAGCTTCTGGATAACCAAATCATATTCTTCGTGAATCTTTTTTGGAAGATACCCCTTTCCCACCATAGAATTAATAATATCACTAATCAGTTTTACATCACGAAATTCACAAGCCCCGTCAAGAATACAGCTAAAAGTTCTAAAGCTAGGGTCTATCCCCTTGTTTTGCATCTCATCTAGATATATAAGAGCAACTTTAAAATCCCCTCTTTTACAATAACCCTCGATCGTAAGATCATACATTGTGGGACAATATATACCCATGTCAAAAAATTTAACAATCCTTTCAAACTTTCCATCTTTACTTAGAGCTAAAGCAATCAAAGACCAAGTAAACAGATTTCCAGAAACCCCGTCCCGAACCATCAAACCGTAGAAGCACCAAAACATTTTGATCTCATTTTTGTCTAGTAATCCCCCTAGCAATGCATTGCAACCAAAAACTGAAACCAAACAGCCATAATCTTTTGATCTCTGATAAACCTCCAAAGCTTGCATGTACAAACGGCCGTCGCAGTAACAATCAAGCAAAGAACTCAACAAAGAAGAGCGAGTGTCAAAGTTTGTACCTTTAACCAATGCCCCGACGATCCGACTGGCGGGATAATCTTGAACCAGAGAACCCAATATGGGTTTTGATTGTGCGGAGAGTCCGGACCCGAATAAAACCAGGGCGAGTTTACAAAGGGTTTTGAGGTCCGGTATAAACCCTAGATTTTTACAGGCGTAATTGAAGAATCCGAGAGCCACAGAGGGGTGATTCTGCGTCTTGTGGAAGATTTGAAGGAAGAGATGAGGGGTGAAATCGGAAGAGCCGAGCTTGAAGGGCTTGAGAAGTGACGCCCAATGGCTTCTGCTCCTTTGAGTGAGAATGGTGGAGATTTGGGTGACGAATTGGGCGCGTCTGATTCTTGATCTCCAGTCTGGGTTGAAGGGCGGGGGAGATGATGAATATGAAACTTCTCTGTGGTAAAGATTCTGAGGTTTGTGAGGGTGTGACATTTGCTTTGGCTGCTGCGAAGCTCTCTGGTAGTGGAGAAAGTTTGGATCTTTGGAAGAACATTGCCAATATTTGTCTGTATTTTTTTAATTTTTTAAATTAAACTGCATAAATTTTATATTTTAATTACTTTTAATTCTTATTGGACATTGGTATAATGAAATAAAAATTTAAATTTTTTAACCAAGATTAAATTTTGAAATTTGAACGTTCTAAAATTCTGCAAAATTTAATCATATTATTTGTAAAGTTCAATCAAATTACTTGTAAAATTTGAAAGTTATAAAATTTTATAAATGTCATTTTTTCTTCATTTTTATACCTACTCTGTATTATACGGAGTACTTTGTAGAAGTCGGCTATCAAAGACCTTTTGATCTAATGACATCTTAAATAGGTTCAGAAAAAATATAAATGTAACACGGAGTAAAATTAATTTTATTTAATTTATTATGAACTTAAAGTGCAAAAAAAAAAATAAACGTATGCACCTTTAACACCCGTAGCATATTTTATTAACAAATTGACAATAGCGCATGAAACAAAAACAATCTCACCATATAATAAAGTGAAATTTGCACCAAAGAGATTATAATTTGACTGGCACAAATGCTAAGAATGAAATTAAAATTAATGATATACGGACAATATAATCAGAAATAAAAATATGAATCATTTCACACAATAATTCTTTTCTTTCGAATAAATTAACCTTAGAGTCCGTTTGGTATAAAAAATTGGTGGAATTGGAATTGAAATTACATGGGATTTAATTCCATAGAAATGAATTCTGTCAATTTCAAATCATTTTTTGCACTATCAATTCCAAATTCACATAATTTTTGTGCTACCAAACACCAGAATTGGAATTGAAGTCTTCAATTCCAATTCCATAGTTTGAATTCCATGTACCAAAAAGGACCTTAATTATTTCTTGAAACAAAATTATATATATTGTACACTCAATTCAATAATGTCCTCACGAAGACTTCGTATGTAATGTAAAAACATGAAAAAATCATTCGGATAATCCAGTGTGATGAATCAATCAGTCCCACGGACTGAGCCAGCACTCCCCGGGCTTGGTCGGATACCGGTCGGTGTCCGGGCAATAATCATAGATCACAAGGTTCCGAAGGACCCAAGCGTAGTCGAGTTGCTCGTCCGGCGAGAGGTGCCACGCCGGGTACTGGTCCCACCAGTGCTGGGTCGTGGTGGATACGCACGCCGGGTAGGGATCCTCCCACTGGCAGGCGTCCACATTGAAGTCTTTGTACGTGGACACGAACGGCGCGTTTCTCCAGTCGGTTTTCTCCAAACCGCCCCTTGTCGCCCAGTCGTCCGCGTCCCATATGCTTGAGAACAAGTACATTGGCTTCTCTATGGGGAAGAAGTTGTTTGTGTAGTTTGCATTTTTGTACACTCTTATGGGAACTCTATCCACATAGAACCTACATCCCATAAACATAACAAAATGTGTTTGTGAACTCTATATATGAAAAACTAAGCTTTATAACCACACATAGATAATGATGACGGGCTCCCAGTGAAGTACATGTTGTCAAACTTGGTGTGACTATAGCATGATATCAGGGGACAATTGAAGCAGAGATGCATGACCAACGCTAAACGCTACCCGTAGATAGCATTTTTAAAACGCTAACAATATTACCAAACAGACACATTATCTACTAGGTATGTAGTTGAATTGGTAAGGCACTAAAATATTACTTACACAATCATGTGAGGGTTCCAGCGAATGGAGTAAGTATGGAAGTCCATGGTAGGGTCGAACCAGAGAACATGGCGCATTTCACGACCGCCGGTGCCATTCTGGTACACATTGGTCTGAATAATGTAAGGTTGCCCTGTCCTGTTCCCCAAGAACTCGAAATCTAGCTCGTCTCTACTCCCCCATCCTTCCCCTTTATCATTGTACTCGGAGCACATCTGTAATGATTTTTGAAAGAACGAGGAAAGTCGAGATTATTTATTTTATTAATTAGTGTTTTCCCTTGGATGTATTATAAATAAGAGGTTATTAGATAGATAACTAATAAAGAGGTATCACAACATCATTACCGCCGACTCTAAACTTGAAGAGAAATTCGGCCTTCTCTCTTCTCTCAAATCCTGATCACATCCTAAACAATACACCCTAAACGGGAACCGATCAAGATCAAGATCAGGTCGTTTTCCCAACTCAGTCATTCAATCACGGGTTTACCCATTATTGTCTTAACCATTATTCTTGTTTCATTATATGATTCAAAAGTCATAATTCAGCACATCGATGATACTTTGTAAATATAATACTGTTGGACATAAGACTAAAAGTTAGGTGTTTTCCCTATATATATGACTCATGTAGTCTCCCTTTTTTTTTCTAATTCTAACTCCGTATTAGTTTTGAAATTGATCCATAGAATTTGGTAATAATTAGTCTTATTTAATCACAATTACAGTAGAATAAGAATTATTATAACAATTGAATAATTCTATTTCCTATTGACTTTAATCACTTTATTACAGACTCACATAAAAAGCAGTGACAACACCAGCAGAGTCACCTCCCACCAACTTCATCTTCATGCTGAACCAACCAAATCTGTACTTATGCTTTGTAGCAAACCCACAACCTGTTGTGTATTGTCATTAAAATAAATAAACAATACAGAGTAATTATTAGTCTAACCAGTGTATAAACACATGATTTAAACACAGTACTTTCTTAATTTTTAAAAGCATTTGGTAGATGTAATGAGATCTGAGAAGAAATAATTGTAAATGGACTCAAAAAAGAAGAAGAAAAACACATCTTATGTTTGATTGGTGGGATGTGAACCTGCACTTTTGTCCAAGGAGAGAAACCAGATCTGGCCATCTTCAGAGGTTTTGAAGTTGGTCTCTGGGCAGCTTTTGCTGAAGTTTTCGTCGAATGAGGAAGATGATGAAAGCTGGGCCGCCAGAGATGAGGATGGTGATAGAAGAGCCATTAGAGAAGCAGTGAAATGGAGAAGGAGGAGGATGGGGTTCGCCATTGATGAAGATGGCTTCCTCATCTCCCTTGGCTTCTCAATAATGGAGCTCTGGCTCTTGGTAGAGAGAGAAAAGCAACATCAACCAGAGTTCTTATTCTTAAATGTACCTGCTATAACAAAGACAATTATAGTCTGTTTTTGTACATGTGAAGGCATGAGTGCAACCCATAATAACACTCATTCATGTGGTGTGACTCTAGCATAGTCTATGACTACATAGGTGCAACTATGGAGGGAATTGATAGTTTCGACGAGTGACTTATTAGTTTTTTTAAAAATTATAAATTAGTTTTTTTGGGTGATTAATTAATAAATAACTTCAAGGATTTTTTTTACAATTTTTTACTTTGACGCTTTTTTTGAACCGTCGTAACAACTATATTTGTTCATCCGTCGTAACAACTACTTTCGGGTCAATTTTAATTAAGGCGAAACAACTGTCAATTAACGATCCAAGGTCATCCCGACATGAGGTTCAATGTCACGAGAAACGTCACCTTAATACGGAGTATTATAATGATGGATTAAAATTCATTAGGGAGAGAGGGTATCCATTGCAAGTTTGCAACTTGGTATATTTTTGTTCATCCATCAGCATTCAACACGGCAAAACCCATGTGAGTACAGCTTTTTTTGAGCCGCCGCAAAAAATAATCATTTAAGCTCCGCTTGAAAGAGAAAATTATTCTGTAAAATGACTTGCTCTTCTTCTTAGTCATCTTTGTGTCTTGGTGTTTGATTAATAATTATGAAATTATCTTTTTCTCTTTAGTTCATTTTCAGAAAACCAATGGAGAAAGGATAATTTACCTAAATAAGATTAAAACATAATGATTTTCTAAATATAGGACTATATATTTTTATTTCTCAATGTAGGACCATTGATCATTATTTATTAGTCATTATTCAACTAAATGTCCAGCATCACTTGGACATTATTCTTTTCACTAGTCATTATTAAATCTTATTTAGGGAATAAAAAAATTTAAGTCCTACATTGGAAAATGACTTATATTTTAGTCCTATTCAGTACAAATTTCACATACAGAGAAGTATAGCTAAAACGCATCAAAGTGGGTCTCAAGAATTCGTTGGCGAGACGAAAAAATGAGGTTTGACCCTATAACAGATTAAATTATATAAACTATTTTATTTCAAACAATAATTAACATTATAATAGTATGCATAGCCTATAATATTATAATTAAGTATCGTAATAATTACCTTAAATATTTAAGTTTTTAGTTTTTATACTCCCTCCGTCCATAATAATTACCATGGTATAGAATTAAAAATAAAAAAATTACATATTTAAAAACTACATAAAAAAATCTACAAATCTATAGATGACATGATTTTATTATTTTATCAAGTAGGACACGAATATAGGCCAACAAAGTGAATACAACTTCACTCTCTGAATAATGAACGAGAATTTTATTATTAGACAGTGAGAATATAAATATACATAATATATATTAGAAAATTTAAAATGTTTAATAGCCCACATTAATCATTTTGTTTTTTAGATACTCAACTGATGAATGCATTTGTGATCTCTTATTTGAAAGAACTCCCTTGATTAGGGGTGTTCATCAGTCTAAAACTGGACTGGACCGGACCGGACTAATAACCGAACTACGCTAAAACCTAGACCGAAGACCGAACCTATATGTACTCGGTTTTGGACCGGACCGACCCAAAATCTTATGTACCGAACCGGTTCAGACCGAAAAGACCGAATCGAGGTGTGGCCGGAATTGAAACTTTCCTTCCGGCAAAACCCTAGGTGTGGAAAATTGGGGGTTTTGCAATCCCGAACCAAATGTTGCAATTGAGGAGTCAGGGTGGGTCGTAAAGATGTCAGGAAGATGCCTGGGTGGGTGCGCGACGTCGAATTTTCCGGAGGTGGCCGGAATCTGCAAATACCCCCAGAAACTGCCGGGACGGGTCGCAACTGATTCCAGCGATTCCGGCGTCCAAATCCCACGATGTTGGTGGCGATGGGGTCGTATGGTCCTCAGGAGGCGTTTGGGAGTGGTAGGGAGGCTCGCCGCTGCGTGTGGTGGCCGGAGCAAATTGGGCAACGGCAAGGACGACGGTCTCGATCTAAAAATCTAGGAACCTAGGAAGTAAGTGATATAAAAATTTGATATATCAAATCTATATAATAAAATGAAGTCTATATATTAAATACCGGAGTATATATTATGGTTAAATTTACTTTTTTCATAACTTATGGTGAAAGCACATCAATACTTTATAATAAAATCAAAATAAGAAAGATAATATTTTAAATTGTGACGTCAATTCACGAATTACCTGTGTAAGGAGTACGAAGTTAAGTAGGAGAGAGAGAATATTAAAGGGCGTATTTGTAAATTCACAACTTTCCATCTCCCTGGGGTAATCAATCCATCGGGTCCGTATTTGTTCGGTTGTTCCTTTGTTGCTCACATCCGATTCAGAGACTCGTCGTTCCGCTACAATGGTCTGCGAAAAGTGTAAGTTTTCGTCTAATTCTCTGTCTCTTTCTATGTATCGTCGTATATGTATGCACCGGAGAAAAGTTTTGTGCGAAATTTTGAAAGTTAGGGTTTTGTGAATTGCAGGCGAGAAGAAGCTGGCGAAGGTGATAGTGCCGGACAAGTGGAAAGAAGGTGCTCATAACACAACCGAAGGCGGAGGGCGGAAGATCAACGAGAACAAACTCCTTTCTAAGAAGAACAGGTGTGGTTTCTTCAGTTTCCGTTCGTTTATTCATTTGTTTTTAGAAAAAAAATATTCATTAATAGCAGTATATGATTATCATATAAGTTACCAAATCGATTAAATTTTGTGGATGAAAGGAATAGAATTTCTGCCATATGATTGAATTTTGGGGATGATAGGGTTAGAATCCCTGGAAAATTGATCGAAGCTGGACATTAATAACTCATTTTCAAAATTTGGGAGCAAAAGTGGCTGGTGTAGAATTGCGAGATTCCAACCCAAAACCAATTGCTCATAGGAGGCCTAACTCATATTCTTATATATTAGTCTTTTTTAGCCCAAGTGTTTGGCGTGAGATTACATTCTAAACACACCCCTTCAATCGAGAATTGGGGTTTTTTGCCTTGCTCTAGTATACCATGTAAAACTGTGAGATTCCAACTCAAAACTTATTGGTCATGAGAGGAGTGACTCATATTCTTTATGTATTAGTCTTTTTTAGCTTCGATATGAGATTATATCGTAGTTCCATTCCCCTATGGAGTCAAAGATTCACTATTTTTTGGCTTTGGGGTATGATGGAATAAAGCAAATTGGCTCTTTAAACTGTCCACGCTTCTTGCAATTGTGAAGTAGCAGTTAGTCAATGCAACTTTCGACGCTCATCATGGGTCATTTGGAAACAGCCACTCTATGTATTAAACATAGGGGTCAGACTGCGTACATCCGACCCCCCTTACCCCGCAATGGGCGGGAGCCATTGAGGCACTGGGGTAATGTTGTTTTTTTGTTGTTGATATCAGATTATATCGTCAACCGTTAGAATTTGATAATAAAGTAAGGTGCCAAAATCGAAGTTTGATACATTTTTTAAAATTGTACTCCGTATAAGTTTAGTTGTCTTTGTGTTTTAATTTTGTGGCATTCAGTTAGGCATTCCTCAAAAGTTTAATCTCCCACAATTTCCCTGTAATAAGAGCTTGTTGGGTTTTGATTGAGACTGTACATTGATATGATCTTCTTAGTTGTCCTGACCTTGGTAATGGCACTGCTTTCTGCTTCTTAATATAATGATTGGATGGTTTTATCTTAAATGGCTATTGAGTCCAGATTTTATCATCTTCAATATTTCATGTTGTCAAGCATTAACTTACTAGTATTTTTAAATCAAAGTCGTTGGTTGGGGTTGTTTAACTAGTTGCCGAGATGGATGCAATGGTTTCCACTTTGGACATTTCATCATGACGTTGGTTATGTGCTATAACAAGCTGATCATATATTTGGGTGAAGCTAGCTTACACTCTTTACATGCTAGATGTGATTACCATATCATTCTACATATACTTTGGTGCTTGATGCTTCCCTTGTACTTATTAGAGACATGGCATGTTGTTTGTTTATTATTTTTTTTCTAGAACAACTTAATCATTGCACGAGATAAATTTATGTGGGAAAAAAGGGATTCAAAGTTCTCTTGCTTACATTATATCGCTCTAGTCTTCATTTGAGTGGCGATCTCTCTTGTTTTAAGAAAAAGGAAGACTCTGTAATAAACAAGTGTATACTTCTGTGCAGATGGACGCCATATGGATCTGGAAGTACCAAGTGCATTATATGTAAGCAACAAGTGCATCAAGATGGAAAATATTGCCATACCTGTGCTTACAGCAAAGGTAGTATAGTGTGTGATGCTTTTAACAGTTTAACATCTTCTATTTATGTAAACGGTGTTGCTATATCCAACCCCATTTTGGATATATCCACACCTTTTATATTAAATGGACAATTTCTCCCTTAATAGTGGCCTTGCAATAAAGTTTCCTCTTTTTGTATTTTTGAGGTTAAAATTGTCAATTTAACATTATTGGAGTGGATATAGCCAAAATGGGGGTGTATATAGCAGCACCCTTATGTAAATAGTTATTGATTTGTCACGTACTAATTGAATTTCTTTTTTGTTGCGAAGGAGTATGTGCTATGTGCGGGAAGCAAGTACTTGACACCAAATTCTACAAGCAAAGCAATGTATAAGAACACAAGCTTCTGGAAAAAGGGTTTTTTAAAATGCCTAGGTAAATGCTTGTAATTTGTGCTAAAAGTCAAACTTATTCTATTTGGCTGTTTCTATCATTCTATGTGTTGTCACCGATGGATTGAAGTGTTCCTTTACTAAGCCGATCGGCTACTAACTCGTTCCAATGACACGTTTAAAGTTTGCTTTAGGGTGTGTTTGGCTCAGGTTTTAGTGTGTGTCAATCCAGTCATCGTCTCCCTGTAAATTTAAAGCCCTCTGTATCAGCTTATTCTATTTTTCCTAAACACAGCATATTGAGTTAGACTGATTTTGAGGAGTCATTCAGCCGAAGAAGAAAAGATGTGGATTAAGAAAAAAGACCGAGTAACATTTCGCACAAAATCAAACTAAATGTATTGGTTAATGAAACATACAATAACGAGAAACCTATTAAAAATCCCGCAGAAAGTAGATTTTATCCCTACTTGTATAGAGGTTGTTTTCCAAGAAATCCCTGCCTCAAATAGGAGAGAATACTTAGTACTTTGCAGTATATCTCTTTGCTCCAATAATAATTTAGCTAGAAACCATGTATCTTAATGTGCTCCTTCTTTACAATGCCAGCCTGCTTGACAAAATTACAACAAAAATAAACCTTATTTTAGAGTACTATTGTTGTCTATCTCAAAAAACAAAAACAAAAATCCACTCTGCTCAATATGGAGAGTGTTTGTTATTGATTTATTATTTTTTTTCAGGTTTTGACAAGTACCCCAAACGATCCATTTCTAAAAAGCAAAAGCCAAAAAATGTGTTAGATGTTAGAACTCACGACGAACACTCCCAACGTGACTCCCTCGCCTTACAAAAATTATATGTACTTTTTTCATCTGTTTTTAAATGAATTATTTTTTCTCATTTTGACTTTTACGTTTTGAAAAAGAATATATGACCCAATTCACCTGGCCTTGTTCAAAATAAATTTTAATCATACACTTATATTTCCTTTGTTCCAATTTAAATCGCTCGTTTTGACTTACAATGTTTGATTGAAATTGTTTTTAAATAATTTTATTTTATTTGAAAAATGGTGTAGAAAGAGTTTATAAAATTAGCAATGACATGATTATACTAAATTATCAAATGATTAAGTAAAACAGAAAAAGAAATTGATTGAAGTTTTATTCCTTGGATAATAAAAAACAACTTAGTTTGAGACGAATGGAGTAATTTTTAAGCATTTTTAATTCAAACACCTCATGTGGGTTTCCATCCCACTTTTGTTTAATTTTGAAAAATTAATTTGGATGGAGGTAGTACTTAAACTCCAACATATATATGAATAATAATAATAAAATAAATAATGGCAATTTTGCGCCAACAAAGCTTTAGGTTGTTTTATGCTAATAATATCAACTTCTATAATTTTTATTGAATATATCTTTCAAAATTAAATAAAAGTGGGATGGGAAACCACATGAGGTGTTTGAATTAAAAAAATTGGTTGACGTGCTTATACTTTTTTGTTAGAAATCTCAGTCGGTTCTCAAGAATCACTTGTTTAACAACAAATTAAAGTTCAAAAATGTAAAAGCCCACCATGGTGCTACAATTATAGGTAATTTATACATATATATATACAATAATAGTCTGTGCTCACATATTCTTATCATTTGTGTATGTGTATATATGCAAATTATCTGTGATTGTTTTCAATGGGGCACCAGTGGTGGATTCCTAGAAGTACATCAAAATGAGGTATCCATTTGTACACCAAGTCTTTACAGACACACACAGACACGTAATCTGTGTATGTACAGACATTGTTGTGTCTATGAAAGTTTGGTGTAAAAATGTGGCATCTCGTTTTTGGTATACCCTAGGTTAATTCTAATACGGAGTAATAATCACCTGAAGAAGGAACATTGAAACGTTCTTCCTTTGGTCGCCTTGAAGTTGGATGACCTAATAATAGAATCCATTAAAAATATGCACTTTGGTATTGTAAAAAAAAACATTTTTTAATACGAAGTATTATTTTACAGCATTTCTCTGTCCCAAAAACAGATTCCTTATTTCTTTTTTGGAACGTTCCAAAAAAGCATTATCTTTCCTTTTATGGAAAAGTATGAGTTACTCATAAATTTTCTCTTTTCTGCATCACTTTCATTCACATATTTTCACCCTCCTTAAATTTTCTGCCAAGTCAAACTCTGCATGTGCATCACTTTCAACCACATATTTTTACTTTGCTTAAACTTTCAGCCAAGTCAAACTCTGAACCTAATTTTGGGACGAAGGGAGTATTTAGTATTGACGCTCATGCTGGTGTCATATAATGACATCGGGCATTATCAAGCTCCTTCAGTGCCCTATTGGACTGGAGAGCTGGGGATTGGGTCAGGATGTCAGGCGCTGACCTGACCCAATTCTGGATCCTCAACAACAGTGCCATTGCAGCAGAACTCCTTCTTGAGGTCTTTGAGGATTTTGCTATAGCTGAACTCCTTCTTCAACCCTTGCACGGTCGTGAGGCTCTTTCTACCATTGCGTTGTTGGACGCGAATGTGGACGTACTCCTTCGCACCTGCATCCGATGTCGAGTTTCCTGCATTCGCATCTGCAAACGGATCTGTACGTTCGCGGCATCCCATCCACACCAAAGCCACAAAGTATGTTTTCACGTCAACCGAGGGTGAAAAAAAACGCGAATAAAAATAAAAACAAAAGTAAAATGTGACATACGTACCGAAGGCCGTGGGTAGATGGATGTCGAGTTCAGACATGAACCTTGGCTGCAAAGAAAGAAATGAGGACGATATATAACAATTAATGGAGTTATGAATGTTAGTTATTGAATGATGGCCTAAGAAGTTTGTGAAAATTAGATATGTTTTCAAAGAGACAAAACAAGGGAGAAAATAGAGGTGAAGACAAAAAAGAAAAAATGGGTTTACAATAAAGAGAAGAGATGATGGAAAATTTGATTGATAGATTGACCACAATTTATGTATTGGACTCATTTCCCCCAATGATCCCTAGCTTCTCGTCTTCAACGCCTTGATGAATGGATATGGTGAATCTATAAATCTACCCAACTCTCTTTAACTTGCACACCGTTTAGAAAAAACCCTAGGGTACACCAAAATTTACTCTCTCCGTTCTAAAATAATTTATCTATTCTACTATTATGATATCTCGATAACTTTTGTTTGTTTATATGTTTGTATTGATAATTTGATAAAAGAAAATCTTTTCATTACTTTTTTTGTAAAATTTTTTATGTCATTTTTTAATATATATTTTTTATTTCTATACCAATTTGTTAATAAAAGTATTTTATAGATCACATGATTTTGCACGTCGTTTGAATAGAGAATATAATTTTGAGACGAAAGAAGTATCTAAATAATATATCCTTCGTCCCGTAAACTTCTACAGATTTGACAAATTTAAGAGATGTGTATTTTGGTGTGGACTGGCCTAAAATACCCTTAGGTTTCCTTTTGAAAATGGGCTATTTAAATCAAATAATCAATGAATAGTTTAAAAGCTATGTGAATTGAAGGAGTATTAAAAGAGAAAATAGCTAGGGGTACACTGCATTTTTTTAATATATTTTTTCAGTTTTTTTAATTTTTCAAATCTTTAAATCTTACATCTAATGCACAAGATGCATTCTTATTTCTTTCATTAGATCGCATTTTCACTTGATCCAAAATCCACACACACACACACATACACATATACATACATACACACACACGGTAAGTCTAAAATGACACCAGTGTTACTGGTGTAATTTGCTTACACCGGTTCGTTTGAGGTACCTACGGTGCTTCGTTTGTAAAAACGACGGTTCCTATCCACCCAACCCACCCCCTAAACCCCCTACCCCAGCCCCCCTCCCTAACCTGGCAGTACACTGCCAGTGTACTGCCAGGGTAGGGAGGGGGGCGGGAGGGGGGCAAGGGTGGGCCTGGGATAGGGGGTTTAGGGGGTGGGTTAGGAGGGTAGGAACCGTCGTTTTTACAAACGGAGCACCGTAGGTACCCCAAACGAACTGGTGTAATCAACTAGTGTATAAGTAAGTGGTGTCATTTTAGACGCTCCCATATATATATATATATATATATATATATATATATATATATATATATATATATATATATATATATATATATATATATATATATATATATTCTTTTACACAGTGTTGTTAAGTCGTTGCCTAGTCGGTGACTAGTCCACGATTAGTCGTCCGGTCGTTTTGGAGAGCTCGACTTGACCATCGACTAGCGTATAGAACTGCTATGTTGCGCAGAGACGGCTTGGAGACCTTGAAAATCCCGAAATGCATGCAGACGGCTCCATGAGTGAGCAGATGAAAGAGAAGAAGAAGATAGGAAGAAGAAAGACTTACATATCCGATTTCATTATCGCCATCATTGACTTACGGACCCTATCGCGTTTCACTCTGTCAAGCGGATCTCAAACCCTCTCTCTTTGTCATTTACGGCTGCCCGAATAGGTCATATTATTTGGATTGGTTCAGACGTTAGTGGACATATATAACTACTTTTTTACTTTTTTTAAGAATAAAGTTCACTTTTATAGAACCTAAAACAAAGTTTTTACTTTTATTGAGAGCAAACCCGTGTCATATAAAAAAATATTTTAATATATTATTTTTGTTTTGATTAATTGTTATCTTTATTAGATTGTTGGGCTTGAAGAATTAAATATATTTTTGCTATGTAAGTTTATGTTATATCTTTGAACATTATTTTGTTATGGTAATGATATTTCATTGTATAAATATATATTCCCTTAATAGTTATCCTTGGTGAATGAAGAAATATACTCCCTCCGTTTGGAAAAACACTTCCCATTTGGATTTGGGGCAAAAATAAGGAAGTGTTAAATTATAGTTGATTTCCAATTTTGTCCCTGATGTGATGGGTAAAAGTAAGATGTGATGGATAGATTATTAGAGAAAAAGTATGATGTGATAGGTAGGGTATGAAAAAGTAAGGGTAAAGGTGGTTTTTTAATAGAAAAGAGAAGTGTTTTGTTGGAAGTGGAAAAAATGAAAGAGGAAGTGTTTTTGAAAACGGAGGGAGTATAATATTAAAAATTTCATTACTTTGTGTAATTTGTCGCCTAGTCTACGACTAGTCCACTAGTCCACTAGTCTCTTCTCCACCGACTCGACTCGACTTGTCGCATTGATAACCATGCTTTTACAAACAATGTATGCCGCAAACTCCATTTTCCCTCAGTGACAAACTGTGAAAGTACACATATTTGTTACAAAAGAATGCTACAAAGAATTCCCTATTGCTTTAAAAAAAAATCCCTATCAAACTTCTCTACGCAGCCTTCTTAGCAGCCCAAGAGTTCTGTGAAAAACTCGAATTCCAATAGAAAAAGATGAATTCTACACCAAAATGACAATCGACCTGCGCATACATTCTGTGGTACTTGATCAAGTAGTGTTACACGTATTTTTTGATTGATTTTAATGTGAGAAATCGACTATCATAACTTACTCTCTCATCCTAGGGAAGTTTCAACTGGGATGGTTGTTGCCTATCTTCGTCGTTTTGATTCTTTCCGTGTCTCTGCCAGGTAGCTCTCCAGGTTGGACTTCTCCCACAGTCGTTTTTGAATAAGATCTTCTTTCAACGGTTCGTCTGAAGAAGGGAGGGGAAAGAAATAAAACACACATTGTTAGTCTATATATAATGAACTCGCCAAGATGTTCATGTTTTCCATTTTGGAACGAGGAAAATGCTCGAGGAAGAAAATAATGAGGAAATAAAGGGAAAAATTGGGGGAAAAAAAGAAAAATGTAGGGGATTTTTTTTGCTTTGAATTTTAATGCTATTAAGATGCAGACGTCTTTTCTAAACAAACATGTCAAATAGTGAACTTAATTATGGGATAGAGCCATAGAGGGAGTAAATTTTATACCAAGTCAATCAATTTTGATCTGTTCCCCCTCTTTTTCAAGAAACCAAAAATTAAGAAAACATTTTCCTCAGATTTATTTTCATTTCCCTGTCATTTTCCAAGTTCCAAACATAGCCTAAATGTTTTCAAAGAATGTGACTAGGTTGTAATGAATATCTTACCAATGTATCTCCACGAATCAAAAGAAATGCCTAGTGATCTTTGAGTCAAATAAGAAGCATCTTCCCAAGAGTACGGAGCTCTTTTGACGTTGTACCTCCAGAACCAACAGCCATACCACAACAGAAGCTACAAATACAGAATCTCACATCTTAATGCATTGAAATAAAAACCTCTAATATTACACTTCTTGAAGTCATCACCTAACCAACCCAAGCGCTAGGCCCAAAGTTTGGCCACAGCCTAGCACCTAAATATTTTTAGAAGATTGACAATTCGACATTGTTATAAGCTTATACTCTATAAACTTAAAGTCTCTTGTGAAAAGTGAAAAAAACTTTATATATTCCCCAATCCCATAAAAAGAGTACCATTTCAACAGCCTATTCTGTTGCAGTTGATCAATTGAAAATAGTTTTTCTACAGAAATTTTCCAAAAACATGATTTTTTAAAGCAAGTTTAACATGATTGATTTAGCTAAGATATCAATAAACAATTTTAAACTGAGATGATTTATGACTTATAACAGTTGTACCTTGCCAAAAACTAAACGTTTTTCCTTTGTCAAACAACTCTTTTTGGGGACGGAGTATTTATCTGAGCACTGATTGAAACCGAGAACTTTTCAACAACAACATTACCCCAGTGCCTCAAAGGCTGCCCACCCATTACCGGGGGGGGGGGGGGGGGGNAACCCCTATCTTTAAAACTTGAGCTAAGTTGCCCTGACTAACTACAACTTTAAAATTAAAACAAGCAAAGACATTTTTGGCTCCATCGGAGATTCATGTCATTAAATAAGCATACTAGCTAACCTTTCCAATAGTGTAAGGAAGGAGCAAAAAGCGAACACCAACAAGTTCCCAAATTGATGGTATTTCAGCTCCCTTTATCTGCAGATTAAGGTCCTTGCTCAGTTCTTCCTCCATGTTCCTGTCACGCATGTAAAAAACTCAGCTGATTACACACAATCAAATATATGAGCCGGACCAATATACATTGATATCTATTGGCACAAAAATATTGCTTGGCGGAAGAACATGAAGTAACATCTTCAAGGTGGTTTGCTGACTATAAATAACATCATACTTATCCATAACTTTATTATTCTTCTTTCTACTTGTAACACCTCCACTGCATTCAAGTTCCAAAGCACGTAGCTTATTTTTGTAAGCTGGTGTTTTCTTGACCGTGTCAATAGCCTGAAACAAGTGCACAAGTAAATTTGCCGCCATTATGGGTATGTTTTAACCCCACCAAATGATAAGGAAAAAAGATAAATTGCTAAGTGAATATTTTTCTTGTGTTTGGCGCTTTGCCTCTAAAATACAAAGGAAATTGATATTTGACTAATATTTATAAAAATGTTACTACTTATATTTCTTAGTCTTAACAATAGAAATGGATAGAAAAAATGAGTTTGAACAAATAAAAAAATTTAGTATGTTTGAACCAATGTTTTATCCCACACACATCTTCTTGCCTTCCAAATTTCTCCTATACTTCCCTTCCTATTTTCATTCCCTAGCCTTTCCATGTTCCCAATGATGAGCACAAGAAAAAATAGTTACAAGATGGACACACCAAGAGCATCTCTGTTTAAACTGTAGAGTTAGAGACCCAAACAATGCAAACAAACCACTTTTTAGAAATGTAGAAGCATCAATTTATACTCCATCCATCCCAAGATAAATTCACACTTTTCTTTTCTATCCATCCCAAAATAAACTTCACACCTTCCTCATTACCTTTTATGTAAAGAATGTGCGGCTCACAACCATTTCTCTTTCTTCTAAACATAGTTTAACTACTCAGTTTTCACTTTTTAACACTTAAGCTTATTCTCTATTTACCAGTGAAAATCGAGATGTGCTTTCCATTGAACATTTGAAACTTTACGGCCACATTCACATTGTACAGTATATTGAACCTGAAATGCATGTGAATACCTGCTTGTACCTTGTCCACTGATTGAGATATTGAAATAATGAGAGAATCAAAAGAAGACCAACAAGGACGGCACGAGGATCCTTTAGAAGGAAAAAGAAATAAAAGAAAACCAGTTAAACAGGTTACTGAATTAATACTGTGAAAAAAAACATAGAGGAGGACAGGATGATGATTGATGGCACTTACAGTTTTGTGGCCATAGTAAGCATGGTAGTATCGAGCTGCATTATAGAATACCTAACAAAGAAAATGCATCATTTTATTTTCCACAGCTTCATCAGTTATTTAGACATTAACATGTAGGGCAATATGAAGACAATTTCTCATATTCTTGAGACATTCAGAGAATACTCAACTACAGAATTACTCATAACACAAAAGTATAAAACTGTTTAAAAAGGCAACTTTCCTATCATCAAGACAAACTTCTAACCCCATGTAAATCACTTTCTTGACAGCCCCCTCATTGAAATCGAAATAGTGCAACAAAGATCACAGGAAGAAGAGTGGCATCTTAACATAATTGAAGTAGCACACAGTTCACTGATTTTGGGTACCAAAAAAAGAGTGTGACATATGAGACATAAAGCAGTAGACATCAACATCATTAGTTCATATAATGGTATCATAAGCAGTACAGCAAGGAATAGCGATTAACCTCTTCGGGGTGGGCAATAGCATAGTCATACTGTTCTCTCGTGGCTTCATCTTTCAGTATCTGCAAGAAAAGATAACATTGTTTGGTGCCCCCGACGAAGACAAAGTTTCTCCCGTCCCCAACTTATTGGTCAAACACAGTAACAATTGGTCACTGAATAAAAGATATGCTGAATGAAATAGTTAAATACAAATGGATTGATAATAAATTGTTGCTCTGAATACATTTAAAGATTGTGGCTTGGTTCATTTTCGTCTCACACCAGATAGTAGATACTGCAGATTTTTACATCCATATTCTTCATTGAAGAATGAGACCCATTTGGCATTCATTGAGGCTTTCTAAACAACCATCATGCACTTCTAATACGGAGTAGTAAATAAAACTGGACATATACCTTCCTATATTCTGCAAACCTTTAGGACATTTATGTACTGATAATTGATAAATTAGATGTTACATTCACTATTAAGGAGCTTCTAAGGCATTCTAAGAATTTCATTCATTTTGCTGCTTTCTACTCATATTACCCTTCCATGACATGACTAAGCATATAGGAGCCCACAACAGTTTTACTTTTATCATAACCTAGATCTCATCCTTCCTCAACCAATTGAAAAGAGGAAAAAACTCCTATTTTTCTAGGGTACCGCATAATTTCGAAAATATTTTATGAAATGCTCTGTATATTATACTGAATGCACAATTATCAACAGGCTTACCATTGTAAAACTTTACATCATTATATGGGGCAATAACAAAAATTCAGAGTTAAAACTTAATTACTCCATACCTCGTAGGCATTCGCGATTTTTACAAACTTCGCCCTCGATTCTGGATCCGGATTTTTATCTGGATGACTACGGAAAAAAGTAAAAGTACTCGTAATTAATAACTTCGAAAATATACATATTTAAAAGATCAGGAAATAAATACTAGAGAGAAGAAAACTTACAATTTCAGTGACAGCTTATAGTAAGCCTTTTTAATTTCAGACGCATTGGCATTCTGAGAGACTCTGGAATTAGAGTATATGACAAATTTAAGAAAAAAAATAAAATAAATATCATCGGCTAGAATTCGAAGTATAGAAAAGGAGAGAAAATGGAAATCACCCAAGGAGATCGTAACAGTCGTCTTCGTCGCAATATATTGAGATCGAAGGCCGGATCAGAGAAGATAGAACGAGGGCAACGGTGAGCGCCGACCAGCGGATCTCCGCCGCCCAAGCTGCTCGCGCCATTGCCGTCGTCGTTCCCTTGTTGCGTCTCGCCGGAAATGAGATTCTGATTCTGTTTCAGAGGATCGGGAAGGACAGGTAGCTTGAAATGTAAAATGACGGTTGCATCCTTTAGCCGCCGTTGACTGTTAATTCTACCAAAAAATTGGTGCTTTTGGTTAGAGGGATTTACGGTGCAATGCATTTTAAAAGAGCAATGTAATGTTAGGAGTACACCAAAAGGTATACCCAAAATGTACATCATTCCTTCTTCACCACACATTTTTATTTGATTTTTATTTACTTATTTTTTTTAAATTTTTTGCCTTTTTTGGTGGACAAGGAGGGGTGGGGGACATATGGGGTACACCTTTGGTGTACCCCTAGCATTTTTCATTTTAAAAACTAAACAAAAAGTCTAAAATTTGATAAAGATGTGATCATAATATTTAATTTACTAAAAGATTAAATATGTTTTTAGTCTCTATAAAATAAGTAAATTTTATTTTTTGTTTAAATTATCCTTACAAAAATTTTTATTTTTAAAATAGTCCTTATTTCATACTCAATATCTTAGTTATGCATTTACAATTACTTCAGACACAATTTTCATTTCCTAAATTTTATTCTTTATCTAATCATATCTTCAATTCTCATTTTTTTAATATTATATTCCTAAGAAATTTGAAAATTGGAGATGTAATATAAATAAATACACAATTTAAGGATTGAAAATTGCATTGGATGTAATTAGAATTACAAGATTAAGATATTTTTTTTGTAACAAGACTAAGATGTCTAGTTTGAAATAAATGTGATATTTCCTCTAACCCGTCTCTAACACTCCGGTTCAAGTAAAATTGGACTTCAATGTCATAGAATGACCCGGGGCATCTAGGGTGCTCCTTTTGAAAAATTGATGATTCTTATGCTCATAACTCCTCGATAAACGTAACTCTCCTATCCAGGCCTGATCCAAACCGACTCCCCCCCTTCCACCCCCTCCAATTACATCCCACAAAATTTAGTTGACTTTAGAGTCAAATTGACTTCAAAGTCGACAAAATTTGGTGGGTTGCAATTGAATGGGAGGGGGTGTGAGGGTCGATTCGGGTCAGGCCGGGATAAGAAGGTTTACCGGGGGTTACATTCCACCCTATTTGCAAATCTCTCAAACGAATTAATTTGTATTTTGCAGATGATCTGATTATAGTGTGCAAAGCTAATGACAACTTCATTAGATCTATGTATTATAGTGTGCAAGGCTATATATTAATGGTTATTAGGATTGAAAGAAAAACCTGAATGGTATCCATTTGTATGGAATATTCAGTCCATCCCAAAGCATCAGATGTTGCAATATATGGCTCATTTGTAAAGATAGAGTGAGCACCAAAACAAAGTTTGGGAAGCACATTGTCATTGATATATAAAACATGTGAGCTGTGTACTAAAGGACTAATGGACAGAATTTCAGCTTGGCTGAAGTACAAGATTGAGGGTAGGAGTGTGAAAGAGATAATCCAAATAAACAAAGTGCGTGGGAAGAGGAAACAACACGTTACTAGCTCATATGCGCTAGTCTGTTATAGTACGTGTTTGGAGAGCTCGGAATAGATTTTATCGTATTCCCTCATCCTAAAACGTTATTCATATATAGTTACTATTCATGCGGTCAAACTTTAATCACTTTTTTTATACCTATTTTCGTTAGTTACTCGATAAAATAATAATATAGTTTTCTAACCTCTTGTTTTGTAGAATTTTTTATGTAAATTTTAAATATATAAACTTTATTTTTAAATTTTACACATACAATTAAATAAGTTAAATTGAAAATAAAGTCTGTCAAACTCTATAAAAATAAACGGGAAAACGTTTTAAGATGTAGGGAGTACTAAAGAAAGAACTCAAGAAAAGGATATGTTTTATTGGGTTCTATGCCAAATTACTATATACTGGGAAAGGAGGAAAAATGGGGAGTCATGTACCTAGCTAGTTTTGGTGTTTCTTTAATGTTGAATCACTAGTCTTTGTTGTTTAGGCATGCATGGCTGGAAACTTCTATTGGTGGTTGATTAAGATGTGCACTTTATTTCAGAAATTTTTTTCCAACTAGATTTATCTAGTTGGAAAATTTCAATATTTTTTGAAAATTGTATTAATATAATATGTAATACAAATTGAGAATAATTAAAATTTAAAATCTTTCTAGTTTAATTTGAAAAACTCGAACTAAAAAAATATACTAAGGCTTTGTTTGGTAACAGCGTTTTCGATTAGTGTTAGCGTTTTGGATAAAATTTTAATGGTACAGATTAATTCTGAAAACGTCAACGCTAAAGGCTACCGTCGGATAGCTTTTTCAAAACGTTAACGCTAATCTCTGACGCTGATGCCAAACGGGGCCTAAGTGTAATCTATGATTTCTATCAATGGATACTTATTTGTCGTATACCATCTTATTTGAAAGGGGATAATCGTTTTTCCACAAAGCACTCATTAAACTTTGACATAACACAACATGACACCAATTTCTCAAGCTGATTGTCAAATGGCAGTGAAAAATGAAACAAATTAGGAGGTCTATTTGGCCATAATTTTTAACTAAAGTTGGATGTATGAAAAGTGATTAAAAAAATGTATTAATTGAAATTTGAAGAGGTGGAAATATTATACTTTTATTATTTTTTAAATAAATAATTCACGCATGCTCTTTATCTTAAAAAAATTTTCTCAGACATTATTTACATAGAAAATCGTATTTACTCATTTTTTAATTAATGAACCTCAATCCACTGAGATTATGACTCACTCCTTGTATGAATATTACGGAGTACATTGTACCCTCGTTTCACAAAACATTTCAACTTTCTCATCTTACTTGACCTATAAAACATTTTAATTTCTTCAAAATGAACTACAATATTTCTCTTTAACCCTATTTTTCTATCTCATACTCCCTCCGTTTGCAAAAAAGCTTCCTACTTTGACTTGGAGCCAAAATAAGGAAGTATTAAATTATAGTTGACTTCGAATTTTGCTCCTGATGTGATGGGTAAAAGTAATATGTGATAGATAGGTTATTAGAGAAAAAGTATGATGTAATATATAGGTATAACACGTAAGGGTAAAAGTGGTTTTTTAATAAAAATGGAAGTATTTTGTTGGAAATGGAAAAATGAAAGTAGAATTGTTTTTGAGAACGAATGGAGTATTTTTAAATTACTCTTTCACATTATTAATCACTATTTATGATTTGAAACATCATTTTTTTCAAAAAATCTTAAGGGTAAAATTAAAAAGTCAAACACAAAGAATACTTTCATTAAAACACCAAAAAGTCAAATCCAAATATATTTTCTGGGAATACAAATAAATAGTGTTTTCTTTTCCCCAAATTCCATTTCTCTTGCTTCTCGTTTCTTCTTCATGTTAGGCTACCAGCTCTTTTTTCTCTTCTCCTCCTCCGCCGTCTTCCTCCTCGCCGCCGCCGGAACTTCCGATCAACAGCCCGTCGCGTTCTGGTGCAACAACACCGAGTTTTACGCCTCCAACAGTACTTTCAGATCCAACCTCGACTCCCTCCTCTCCGACCTCACTTCCAACGCCACCCGCCCCGACGGTTTCCACAACTCCACCTCCGGTGTCGTTTCCGACACCGCCTACGGCCTTTTCATGTGCCGCGGCGACATTTCGCCGGAAGCCTGCGCCGCCTGCGTCAGGAAGGCTGGGGCATATATACTGCTGCCGTGCCCCAACTACAAAACGGCCTTCACATGGTACTGTTCTACTGCCTAATGAATTTGATTTAATGACAATTTTTATCATTAATTATTTTCAATTTCTATTACATATTAATATTACAAAAATATACGGAGTAAAATTTAGCAAATCTTAAACAAGTTGAATCTAATGAACTCATTTCTATATTAAGATAGAGAGTATATTACCGAGTTTAATTTTTATTAATTCACATCCAAAACTCGTCTAATTTTATTTGAAAAAATCATACTACACGAATACACTAGGATTATAACTCACTTCTATATTAAAATAGAGAGTATATTACGGAGTTTAATTTTTATTAATTCACATTCAAAGCTCGTCTAATTTTATTTGAAAAAAATCATACTAGACGAATACACTAGGATTATAACTCACTCCTTGTGTGAATATTACTCCCTCCGCCCCCCTGTATTTGTCCACATTTGACTTTTAGAACTGTTCATTTAAACACTTTGACTCATCAAATTCTCTCAATGTGTAAGCCTAAATATAGTCATGTGTGATCTTGTTTGATTTGTCTTAACATATAGATTATTAATATATAATTTTTATAATTTTTTAATATACAAATTACAAGATAAAATGAATTAAAGAAGTGCATTGAATGATGTGCAAAAATGAAAGTAGACAAATACAGGGGATGGAGGGAGTACTTAATATGAATACGGAAAATGAGAATATAAGTGATCAAAACAATTACTCAATGTGAAATTCGCACTATATACTACGGATCGGAGTATTAAAATATACTCCCTCCGTCCCATGAAACATGAGACTTTTGATTCTTATGAGGGATTTAAGGGGAGTGTATTTTGGTATTGAATTTCCAAAAATGTCCTTCGATGTGATGGGTAAAAGTATGATTTGATGGATAGATTATTAGTAAAAGGCTATGATGTGATAGTTAGGGTATGAAAAAGTAAGGGGTAAAAGTGACTTTTTAATAGAAATGAGAAGTGTTTTGTGGGACGGATAAAAAAAGAAAGGAGAAAGGTTTCATGGGACGGAGGGAGTATGTCATTTCTTAATACATTATTGTCTAATTAAAATATTTTGGTTTCATTAAAATATTCTTAGAGTATAGTATAGTATGGTCGTCTCATTAAAATATTTTTACAAAAGTACATTAAGCACATATAATCCAAACATTGATGAATTGACACCCCGAACAATGTTTGGTCTTTTAGACCTATTTGCATTATTGGAACTATTGACGGTGCTTTGGTCGATATTGGACATTATAATGTGGAGGTCTGATGGCATAATGGTCTCATTACAAGATCTTCATAAAGATATATATTAAACACATACGATCCATACTTTGGTGAATTGACACCCGGCAAGGTATAGTCTTTTAATTTAAGACATTTGAAACTATTGAGGTTGCTTTGTTCCATTTTGGACACAGTCGATATAGAGGTCTGAGAGTATAGTATGGTCTCATTAAAAGATCTTCACAAAGGTACATTAAGCACATATGATCTAAACTTTGGGGAATTGACACTTCGGACTATGTATGATCTTTTTAGACCTATTTGAAACTATTGAGGGTGCTTTAGTCGATATTGGACACTGTCGGTGTGGAGGCCTAAGGGCATAGTTTGATCTCATTACAAGATTTTCACAAAGGTATATTAAACACATATGATCTAAACTTTGTCGAATTAACACCCTGAAACCTTTTTCCTCTCTTTATTATTTGATATATATCAATAATACGTACTCACTCCGTCTCTAAAAATCTTTCTCCTGTATTTATTATGAAATGACAAATGTTAAATTTATGATGTCACATATATAAGAAGACAAATATTTACGTGGTTCTAAGCTCCAAGCTCATTTGACGGGTCTTAATGCATTGATGTCAAAAGAAAATCGGGCCTTTAAAAAAAGAAAAGATTCACTTGCTAACCCATGAAAATTGTTTGAAAATCCATACTTTAGATGGGAACCTTAGTCACATGTTTCTCTGTATTCATAAGATTCTTATAATGCAAAAAAAATAAGTAGGTCTTAATTATCTATTTATTAAGAATTTTTTGGGACAGGAGAAGTATAATATATATAGTTCATCCTATTTTGTAGAAGATTTGATATAAATATTTAAGGCATGATATATATGCTTTGAATGTATAAAATTTGATTTCTAAATTTCCCCCATATAATTAAATAAAGGAAAAATTACCCAAAATAATCCTAACTTTACCCGGTCTTTCAAAAATAATCCCACCTTTCACTGTGATGCATAATAATCCCAACTTTAATGAAATTTGCCAGTTTTGGGTCGCCGTTAAGTTTCTAACGGAGGGTTAATGGAAATGCCCATTTTAGGCAACAAAATGAAAGTTGGGATTATTTTTGATGAATTTTTGTTTTTTAATTTTTTTTTGAAATTTTCATTTAAATTTTTTAAATTACTTTCTACCTCCATCATCATTTCTTTTTCCTTTTTTAAAGATTAGTCTTAGTTTAAAAAATAAAAACAATAGATATAAAAAATGAAAAAATGAGAAATGTAACTAAAATGGTATAAAAATAATAAAATAAATAAGGTAATCAATGGAACTAACTTGAATTTGGAAAAAGTAAAATAAAAATATACGGGTGGGTTTTAATATTTTAGGCATTATACAAAGTATTAACATATCACTTCTTATTTTTTAGAAAAAATTATCTACAATAATTTCAACTTTACCGGACGGCTTGTTCTTTTAAAAAATAAGTAGTACATTAAGACTCCGTATAGTGTGTAAAATGTTAAACACACGACTCCATATATATTTATTTTATTTCTTAACAGTTTCTGTTTAATTTCTATTGATTACATTATTTATTTGATTAATTTTGTATGGTTTTAGTTATTTTTCTCATTTTCATTATTTTTTATAACTATTTTTTTTTTCTAAAATAAGAATAATCTTTAAAAAAGAAAAAAAATGGAGGTTGAAAGTAATTCAAAAAATTTAAATAAAAATTTCAAAAAAAATTAAAAAACAAAAATTCATCAGAAATAATCCCAACTTTCATTTTGTTGCCTAAAACGGGCATTTCCGTTATCCCCCCGTTAGAAATTTAACGGCGACCCAAAACTGGCAAATTTCAGTAAAGTTGGGATTATTATGCATCACAGTGAAAGGTGTGATTATTTTTGAAAAACCGAGTAAAGTTGGGATTATTTTGGGTAATTTTTCCTTAAATAAATTTAATTTAGTTTTAGTTAGATCTTGTAAATTGAATAGGGAGGAAAATTTTAGAATGAAGGAAGTAGATTGATCTAAAGGTCCTGAATTAATCATCTTACCTTAATTTACAACATTCAAATTATAAATAATGTTAATCAAAGTTTGTATAATCATGATATAAAGTGATAAAAAAGCAAAATTTTAAGGCGAAATGAGTAGATAGATCTAATGTGGAATATATGTATTTCCTACAAAATACGCCATGTAAAGGCTTTGACTATATATAGGAGTATGAATATAATTAAGTCTTTCTCCTCCCATTTCTTCCTCCCAAATTCCATTCCCTCTCTTCTTGGGATTGCTTCTTCTTCATGTTAGGCTACGAGCTCTGCTTCCTCTTCATCCTCGCCGCCGCCCGATTCGCCGCCGGGGCCTCCGATCGTCCGCCCGCCGTGTACTGGTGTAACAACACCGAGGTTTACGCTTCGAACAGCACTTTCAAATCCAACCTCGACGCCCTCCTCTCCGATCTCACCTCCAACGCCACCACCCGCCACGACGGATTCTACAACTCCACCTCCGGCGGCGGCGATGACGCCGCCTACGGCCTCTTCATGTGCCGCGGCGACCTCTCGCCGGAGGCCTGCGCCGCGTGCGTCAGCAAGGCTGGCCCGTATATACAAGGGCCGTGCCCAAACTACAAAACCGTCTTCATATGGTATCATATATAGCAGTTCTAGAATATAATTCCTCACTTCTTAAATAAATTCCATAGGGTTTTACATTTATGGATATAAACTTTCATATGATGATCTAAGTTTTTATATTTTATAAAAAAATGAAGACATTAATAATTTATTTTATGAATTGGCAAATGTGAAATTCTTGATATTACATTTTAGAATAATTTACCTAAATAGAACTAAAACATAATGACTTTCTCAATATAAGAGCATTTGTTTTTATTTCCCAATGTAGGACCATTGGTCATTATCTATTAGTCATTATTCAACTAAATGTCTAGCATCACTTGGACATTATTTTTCTCACTAGTCATTATTAAGTCCTATTTAGGGAATAGAAAAGTTTAAGTCTTACATTGGGAAATAATTTATGTTTGTCCTATTCAGTGCAAATTTCAAATTATTTTATAGAACTTGTTATAGAAAACAAATCTAGGGTTCCCTCTAAATAAAATCTAGGGTTAGTTTTGTGACCCTCAGAGAAATGAATATAATTACTCTCTGGTTTTAAAAACTTTTCATCTTTTCATTTTTCTTGGTCAAATAGTGATATTTCTTGATCATAAATTGTGAGAAAAGTAAATTTAATTATAATATGAATTTAATATAATTGAGTTCATCTTAGGATATAGTCTTGATATATCAAAGTTTTATACTCCTTCCGTCCCAAAAAGTGTTTCCTGTTTTATTTTTTGCGCATCACATAAAACACCTCTACTGACATCTAAAATGTCTAAAATTTACAACATTTCTTCTTTATTGTGTGTAGAAATTATTTTGAAAGTTTTTTTTGGCATTCAAGGTGGGATAAAAATGTTTTATGAGATGCGCAAAAAATGAAACAAAAAGACTTTTTGGGACGGAGGGAGTATCATTTATTTGTTTAGATTATGTTTAATATAATTTGTAGTCAAAACATGTCACTGTTTGACCAAAAAAATTAAAACAGGAAAGGTTTTTAAGACCGGAGGAAATATATTTTTGTAGTTGTTTGATTATGTCTGAGTACATTTGGATTTGATATTTCTGAATATCACCACACTCTTAAAAGGGTGTTCCAATATATTCGTTAAGAAGATATCAATCAGAGAACTTAATTTGAGAATGAAGTACGAGTAATAGTTAGTTAATGAAATTTTTTATGTTTATCATTGGTCATCTGGACACAATCATTTTATGTTTGACTCCCTCCGTTCCACAAAACTCTCCCGGTTTTGACTTTAGGGAAAAAATAAGAAAAGTGTAATTTTAGTTGACTTTCCAATTTTGCCCCTGATGTGATGGGAAAAAGTAAGATGTGATAGTTTGGTTATTAGTGAAAAAGTATGATGTGATAGGTAGGGTATGAAAAAGTAGGTGTAAAAAGTGTTTTTTTAAAAGAAAGTGAAAGTGTTTTGTGGAAAGCAAAAAAAACAAAAGAGGAAGAGTTTTGTGGAACGGAGGAAATAAAAATGGGGTTAGACTGCGTACACGTATCCATCTAACCCTCTTATCGCGCGCAATAGGCGAGAGCGTTTAAGGCACTAACGTAATATTGTTTCTAAGGACTTTGATATCTCCTTGTCGAGCACAAGCACACAAGAGTCAGACCAGTCGCAACCAACTATTTCGCATTATTTCACATGTGTCCAAAATCAACATTTTTTTCCTTCAAATTTCAGGTACGACGAGTGCATGTTGCGTTACTCGTGGCGGCCAATGTTCGGAGAACTCAACGACAATTTTCCGAGCACAGTTTTATATTCGCAGTACGAGCCTACGACCGAGCACCTCATGGACCAGGTCGGAACGACACTGGGGAAGGTGGCTAACCGGACGACGGGAGACGACGGTTCCGGGAAAAGATACGCGACGGAGGAAGCAAGGGTCGGAGACGGCGTAAACGGGACAATCTACTGTGCCGGGCAGTGCACGCCGGATATCCCGGACACGGATTGCGAAGAGTGCATGACCAATGCTATCCAACTGCTGGTGTCGGAGAAGGGGAATAGAGTTCTCTTCCCCAGCTGTAATGTAAGGTATGAAGTTTACTCTTTCTACAATAGGGCCGCCACTTCTCCGCCGCCGCCGCCACCATTAGTCCTTCCTCCGTCGCCGGCCAGCACGCTTCCTCCTACTCCTACTCCTGGTACGTTGTTTCATATTTTCATTACTCATTTACTCCATCCGTCCTATATTGACCTTCCCAGTTTGACTTTAGTCCATTTTTAAGGAATGACTAAATATACCTTTGACCTTCCAAAAATACCCTCATTCTAAAATTTGGAGTCCAGCCCAACTCCCATCCAAATTAAAAAAAGAACGATCCCTCTTTCTGGCGAATTAAGCATCGGCGGCGGCTCAACTAATTCCTCGGTGACAGAAGCGGTGGTGAAAAAACCCAATTCCATCCCTTCTTAAATATCTTCTCCCGTCAAGTTGAAGAAATTGAAAAAACAAAAAGTTAAAAACCCCAACCCAGGAAGTCACCATTTCATCAATGTGATGTAGCAAAAAAAGAAATAGGAACTCACTTTCTTTCGCTCTGTGCGTGGTGACCTGGACGACATTAATTGGTTCGAAGCTGTAGCATTGGAAGAATTCAAATAAAATTCAGAAGCTTCTGAAAAAAGAAATAGGAAATCAAGTAGGGCTCTTGTAAATTGAAAAGAGAAATAAGAACTCAAGCTAGATCTAGGGTTTTCTTTGACGGCGGGAATCGGAAAAACAGAGGAAAGAAAGGTATGAGTAGATTGAGAGGCGTCGAAGAGGGAGGAAGAGTAGATCTAGGGTTTTTGGTGAGGGAAGAGATGTAGGGCCTCTTTGGGAATAGCGTTAGCGTTTTGAAAAGGCTATATACGGGCAGCGTTTAGCGTTAGCGTTTTCAAAATAATCTACACCGTTAAAATTTTATCCAAAACGCTAACGCTATTTCCAAACAGGCCCGTAAGTGTGGAGTAATAGGTAAGAGGGGTATTTTGGCCACTTTGCACCTTTTTTTGGGAATGAGAAGGTAGTTTTAGGACATGGAAAAATGAGAAGTGGGAAGATGATTTTAGGACGGAGGGAGTATTAAAATAAAATATATCTGACATTTCTTGATTGTTTTGTAGAATTCTGAATATAATTGAATTTTTTAAATATGTGTTCCCTCTATTTCGGAAAATTAATTCTCATTTGGATAAGAGTTAAAACAAATGTGAAAAGAATTAAAATATGAGTCCTAACTTTTTAAGACCAAAGTAGTTAAATAAGATTCAATCCTAATATTGTTATACTGTTAGACTCACAACATTGTCATACCGCTACTTCCCCCTATCATTAATTGGCACACGTACTGCCCTCCGTTGCTGCAAGTCGCTAGCTAGAGTGACATTGTGGGTCATCGATGTTGATCGGTGGTCCGCTAACAGTTGACTAGTCACACTCTTATATCACACTACACTGTTGTTATCATTTTTTCATTACACACTCTTATTTTGTGATTTAATTTAAGTGACTCGTATTTTAGTATTTTAGTTCAGATTTACTGCTATGGAGAGAGATCTCTTATTCTCATATTGACTTTTGAAAAGTTTAAAGAGTGTTTTGTTGTAGTTGACTTCTAATTTTTGTTCTTAGATGTGATGGATAAAAATAAGATGAAATATTTGCACAAAATACCACTACAACTTAAGTCATTTCTCTAAATAACACTTAAATGGTTTTGTTCCCTAAATAGCACTTAATAATGTCCATAATGTCCAGTAATGACGAATATTTACTTGAATAATGACTAAAAGTGCTACATTGGGAAGAAAACACATGTGGTGATATTTAGAGAAAGTCATTATGTTTTAGTATTATTTAAGTAAATTCTTCTAAAAGTAATTAATGATGAAAAGATTCAAAGATATCTACTAATTCATTCTTACCCGACCTATCATATGATATCTATTCACGATTCATGGATCGAATCTACACAGTGATATCTATTTACTACGGAGTATTAATCTACTATCACATCGTACTTTTTTCCATCAAATTCAAAGATAAAAATTTGAAAAGTCAACCAAAAACTTTTAAAATTTGCCAAAAGTCAAAATCAGATTGTTTTTCCAAACAAAGAATACATAAAGGAGTGAGAACTAGGCCAATATGAATGCTCATATTCTTCCATCATTTTAACATGACTTTCAAGCATGACCAAGAAAAAAAGAAAGAAGAAATTACGGCCTTACGGGTAGGGTTTTGACTGTTTTCACCATCCATGACTTTAAATATTCTTCACTACAAGTTACGTTTAACGTCATTATTATTACTGAATGCTTTACTAATTAATAATGTTACGAGCATTTTATTATTAACAATAAGAAGTAATTAAAGTTTTACGTGACAAAATTTTTTGTTTTCATATACAGCTAGCGACCTTTTGCTTATTGTTTTTACTTTATACTCTCTTGGTCAAGTCGTGAAAAAAATTATTACCCCCCCGTTTGTGCAAAAAATTCAAAAAGTATACTCTAATAATGTTATTAGGAAGTCTATTTGCAAGCTGTGATGGATTGTTATTATTATTATTACTATTATTATTATTATTATCATTATTATTATTATAAGAGTTGGGAACAACTTTACTAAAAATCAAGATTCTCGTTAAATTATAAGTTCAAGATAAGTTTATATTCTTATTTACGTCTCATAAATTAAACGTGCAAAGGAAATTTATTTTTGTTCGAGTCTTGTACATCGAACTTGTGGTTGTAGGCAAAGGATAGGTTTTATACTTTAACAATTATTTTTATTGTCATTGTTATTATCGTTATTATTGTTACTGCTACTACTACTATTATTATTATTTTTATTATATTATTATTATTATTACTATTATTATTAGTACTATCATCATCATTATCATATCTCTTTCTTGGAGCATCTCCAACCTTCTTCAAGCTAAATAATGAAAAATCGCAATTTTAACAATTATCCTTATTTGTATGCACTCCAATTGGTAGATTAACACGTATTTGAACAAAAAAAAACCTAGAAAAATTTACCTAAATAGGACTAAAACATAATCATTTTATCAATATAGGATCATATATTTTTATTTTCCAATGTAGGACTTTTGGTCATTATGAATTAGTCATTATTCAATTAAATGTCTATCATTACTGGAAATTATTCATCACATTAGACATTATTAAGTCCTATTTAGGGAATAAAAAAGTTTAAGTCCTACATTGGAAAATGACTTATGTTTTAGTCCTATTTAGTGCAAATTTCACAAAAACGTAATTGCCAATAAAAATCTATCCTTTTTAAACTTGAATTTAATTATGAAGTGATCAACCTGAATTAAATTGAACTAAAATTAACTCAAATTTAAACTCGAAAGCATGGAATTGAACTTAAAAAATCTCCTTTTTTTTAAACTTATGACACTGTACGAATGAAGTACTCCCTCCGTCCCAAAAAGTCTTTCCTGTTTCATTTTTTGCGCATCTCATAAAACACTTCTACCGACATCTAAAATGCATAAAATTTACAACATCTCTTCTTTATTGTGGGTAGAAGTTATTTTGAAAGTTTTTTGGCATTCAAGGCGGGATAGAAGTGTTTTATGGGATGCACAAAAAATGAAACAGGAAAGACTTTTTGGGACGGAGGGAGTAGTACTAAAGCCCGTTTGGTTGAGATGATTATAATTATTGATGTTAAAACAATTTTTTTTTGCCAAAACAATTATCAAGAAAAAAGATATTTTGAAAATTCTTTTAGATGTGTGCTTTGATCTTTTGCAGGTAACAAGGAACATTCCTCTTCTTCAAAAGACATTATTGTCATTGTACTTCCAATATGTGGATTTGTAATCATCATTGCAATCCTTTGTCTTGTGAGGATCAAACATGGAAAAGGGAGAAATGCTAATCACCAGAAAACAGGTTAAGACTTGAATAATGGCACATTTTTTATTTGCATTAGTTTCAGTTTCACATGTCTTTTTCTTACAATATATATTTTCTCCGACCCAAATTAATACCCACATTTGGTTCATTAGCACGAAATTTAAAAAAAATAATTTATGTGTGTCGTTGAAAATGACGTAGAGAAAAGAGAAATAATACGGACTATGAGACAAGAAAACTTAAATTTGGAAAGATAGAACACTACTTTTTGGGTTGTCATAAAAAGGAAATGAGTATAATACATTTGTTCTTTTCTTTAGTATAACCTCTATTATTCTTTCATTAGATGTGACAGGACTTTTAAATGAGGAATTCTACCATTATGATCTTGCTACGATTCAAGATATTACAAAAGGCTTTTCATCTGAAAGTAAAATTGGCGAAGGCGGATATGGTTTTGTATACAAGGTAAATCACTTTAATTACTACTCCGTAATAGCTAGACTATATTAAATTATTTTAGCTACTAAATATTCCATCATATATTATTGAATCTTATTCAAAATTGATAACACTTAGGGAAAGCTTCCTGATGGGCAAGAAGTAGCTATAAAAAGGCTTTCAAAAAGCTCAGACCAAGGTGTCCAAGAGTTCAAGAATGAGGTTGAAGTAGTTGCTAAGCTTCAACATAGAAATCTAGTTAGACTCTTGGGATATTGCTCCGAAGGTGAAGAAAGGATACTTGTCTATGAATTTGTGCCCAACAAAAGTCTCGACTACTTTTTATTCGGTAAGTTTTCATTTTCCAAAACTAAATTCAACATGCCATCAACTTTCTACTTAGTTTGACGTCCTAGCTTAACATATATTTTGGGCATGATTTTCTGATATATATATTTAGATCCTGAGAATCAGTATCTTTTGGATTGGTCGAGGCGTTACAAAATTATAGGAGGAATAGTACGTGGAATGCTCTACCTTCATCAAGACTCTCGTCTAAGAATCATACACCGTGATCTAAAAGCTAGCAATATATTGTTGGATGCAAACATGAATGCAAAAATAGCCGATTTTGGTACGGCGAAAATTTCTTCACTAGATCAAACTCAACAAAATACTAGCAGAATCGTTGGGACATAGTAAGTCATTCATCTTTACTACTTCAAGGAAATGTTTCAACGATGCTAAACTTTATTGTTACATAACATATCTACGTATTGCTCTGTAGTGGCTACATGTCTCCCGAGTATGCACTATATGGTGAGTACTCCGTAAAGTCTGACATTTTCAGCTTCGGAGTTTTACTACTAGAGATTGTCAGCGGAAGGAAGAACCGCAGATTCCTCCTAACGAGAGAAGCGCAACACCTTCTTAGCTACGTAAGTTATAAAATGTCGTCAATTCTACCGCAGATTCCTCCGTCTCATAAAACAATTCATGCATGTTCTTCACTTTCATGTATTTTTTCTTGGTATATGTATATAGGCATGGGACCAATGGAAGGATGGGACACCATTGGAGATACTTGACCCAGTTCTTGAAGAATCCCACAACATAGAGGAAGTCATCCAATGCATTCACATTGGTTTGTTATGTGTTCAAGACATTGCAGAGAACAGGCCAACCATGGGAGAAGTCATGTTAATGCTCACCAGCTACTCCATTAGAAGCTGGCCTTCTCCTTCAAAGCCTGCTTTTTACCGTTGTGGTGGTAGTGGTGGGGTGTCTAGGGATTACTTAGGTCAGGAAAATAGTAGTCTCACTACTCACTCGTCATCTTATTTCATAAACACACCCTCACCGGCCATGGAGATTTAGAGCATGTTAATTACGTTGTTTTTTTTTACAATATGTTCTAGAGATAATTTTGGACGGACGAAAAAGGAAGGCGAAAGTATGATATGTCGACCCTTGTATACGTATTTGATTTTAATTGCATGTCTACAATGTACAAATCAATGTATGTATAGTTGTATAATTGTCATTGCTAAATATGGAGTATTTCTTTAGTATGACTTCTATATCGAGTATCATGTTTCATGAGAAGATTCTCTTCGTGGTATATTCGAATTTTCAAGCCATTACTATTTCTTACTTTTGAAACTGCAACATGCACTTGACCATTACTAAATACCAGTTTTCATAACAATAACACAACATGTTTCAGATATTGTCCCTGCCAATAATTCAATAATTTGACTTATCTGAGCAATAATTCAACATATTAATGTATTTATTTTTGAATTTGTAGTTTTTAAATTTTATTTTTCATATTTAAATGGTACAATTTAATTACCCTATGGTATTTACTTTTTATTTTATTTTAGAACACTTACTATTTTTACACATGTCCATGCTTGTAAATTATACTCCCTCCGTCCCAAAAAACCTTTCTCCTTTCTTTTTTCATTCGTCCCAAAAAACACTTCTCATTTCTATTAAAAAATCACTTTTACCCCTTACTTTTTCATGCACTGTTTCTTGACTTTCTTCCCCCCGTCTTCATGTAATCATGTACTCCCTCCGTCCCTCTAAGATCTTCTCGTTTTGACTTTTTGCGGTTTTTAAGGAGAGTTGAAAAAAGGTGAAAGTTCACCAAAATACCCTTAATCAAAATGGGTGGGGTGTATTAAATAAAGTGGGAAAGGTATAATAAATAAAGCAAGTGGGGGTAGTTGTGAAATTTTAATGAGAAGATCTATGTGGAACAAATAAAAAGGGCTAATGGGAGGATCTATGGGAGACGGAGGGAGTATCAAATAGTGTTTCCTCATCACTTCCCTCCTTCTTCGTTGATTGCCACCGTCCTCCTCAGTCAATTGACTTCCTGAAATCAACATCTTTGTTTCATCACCATCGGCCATCTCTCCCTGTCAGTTGTCAAGTACCTCTATCCACCTCCATCAAATTTTCGTCGTTGTTCAGATATTCACCATCGGATAGATCTTCTTCATCATCGTTGTAGTATTGTGGTATTTATTCCCACCTGTCACGTGGGTTACCCGAGTTCAATCCCCGACAAAAGCGCCAATTTTAATGCGAGAACTTTTTGACACGTCATTTGACACTGAAAATTTTCAATAAAAAAGATGATAGGGAATGAAATGTGGGAAAAGTAAATAGAGTGAGTATGGTAGTGGAAGTAAGAGCCTTGACTACTTTTTATTTGGTTAGCCACTTTTACGTCGTTATATTGAATAATTTGCCTAGTTTTTTTTGTCACTAATGTATTTGATTGTGTGTGCACCTTGTTACAAATGCACATTAAGATCTTGAGAAACGACACCTATTGGATTGGCCAATGCGTTACAAGATTATTGAAGGGATAGCACGGGGATTGCAATACCTTTACGAAGATTCTCGACTAAGAATCATACACTGTGATCTCAAAGCAGACAATGTATTACTTGATGAAAACATGAACCCAAAAATAGCAGATTTTGGCATGGCCAAAATCTTTGGAGTTGATCAAACTCAAGGAAACACCAGCCGAGTTCTCGGGACATAGTAAGCACAAAATTATACTCCCTCCCTTCGGAAAAACATTTTCAATTTCGTTTTTTTTGCTTTCATTAAAACACTTCCTTTTTTATTAAAATAGTTAAGATATCCAAATAAAGTCATTCCAATATACTCCATCTATTTTGTACTCCCTCTGTCCCATTGTCTTTGTCCACTTACCTTTTGGCACACCATCCAATGCACTTCTTTAATTCATTTTATCTTGTAATTTGTATATTAAAAAATTATAGAAATTATATATTAATAATCTATATGTTAAGACAAATCAAACAAGATCACACATGACTATATTTAGACTTACACATTGAGAGAATTTGATGAGTCAAAGTGCTTATCTGAACAGTTCCAAAAGTCAAAAGTGGACAAAGACAGTGGGACGGAGGTAGTATTGATATAATTAGCGATTTAAGTTATTTGTCACTCTTTTCTATTCGACGCTAATGATTTAATTGAAGAGTCAAATTACAAAATTAAATTCTGCAAAAGTCAAAATAAGAACTGTCTAGTAGAAAGGAGGGAGTATATCCATAAGTCAAACTACTTAAATAGTATTAAATCATAACCTGTTTCCTATATAATACCTTAATACCTAATGTTTTAAAATCCCGGCCTAAACAGTACTTAAGTTAGTTATTATCCATAATTATTTAATATCATTCTAATGATACAAAGATACCTCTCCCCTCTAATAATAGTTTGCATTTTAGACATGACTATTTTCATACCGCCATATCTATCCTTCAATATAAGGGTACGTGTAGGTATTATAATTAAATTGCATGTAGGTAGGTAATAAAGAGTTTTAGGTACTAGATTGAAAAAAAAGATATACCGTACCCAAAGTATGTTTTAGTAGTATTTACTATAAATTTTACATTATACATTAGTCCTTGATACCATGACTATATATGATTTGGTATGCGTATTACTTTGTACAATAATATTTTTTTGTGTATATATGTCCACTACTAGTGGGTACATGTCNAATAATGCAAGGAAAGTTCTCCGTGAAGATCATAACTGGGGAAATAAAAGCGTTCCAAGTTTAATGAACTGGAAGAGAGGCCTACAATGCAGTGTGTGGAAATGTTAGTTTTCTTATTACTGTGTTCTTATTGTTTTTTCAAGATCGGACACGAAACAATGGCAGGTGTACGTGTACGTGAATGATTATCATGCACCCCTCACCAAAGGTGCATGTGTGCGTGGGAAAAATAAACACTCGTATACTCCCTCCGTCCCAAAAAGATTTACACGTTTCAAAAAAATTGTGTCACACAATTCTTTACCCATTTCTATTAAAAAACCACTTTTACCCTTTACTTTTTCAAATCCTACCTATCACATCATACCTTTTTCCTAATAATCTATACATCACATCCTACTTTTACCCATCACATCAAGGGTATTTTTGGAAAATCAACACAAAATTATCCCTCCCTTAATTTCAACTTTAGTCAAAATGGGTAACACTTTATGGGACGGAGGGAGTATAATATTTCCTGTTATTGAGTAAATCTCATTTTTGTGTATATCATAAATATACAAATGAGTAAGTCTTGGGCACATCATAGAGTACATTCCTTGCTGAACGTGTTTGATAGATGCGAGACTATAGTTCATCTAAAGACGATTCCTCTCCGTCTGTACCCATTACATCCATCATAAAATATTCACTACGAACTCTAATTTGCATGCAATAATTCTTTTAAGATAATAAAGTAATGATTTTTTCAAGAAACGGCCCAGCAAATATGTTTACATTCATCTTTCCTATTTTTTTTACAATTCACTACAAAAATTGAATTGCAAATACATTTCTATAACAGAAATGTAGATGGTATTTTTGATAATCTACTACAATTTTTTGCAATCAAAATGATACAACAAAAAGCTAGTGTGAGATAGCACCCAAATTACTATTTTTAAATGTCACAATAATTTTATTTTATCTGATAAGTCACCATAATTATTTAAAATTATTTTTATTCTTAATTAAATTAATGGGAGTATATCGTGTTTTACCGTGTTAATTAAATATTTTCACTTTACATTATGTTAAAGCTAATTATAGAGAATTAAAATGTTAATAAAAATGTTCGAATTTAATGGCTATAGAGTCTAGTCTCTCACTTATAAAAGATAAGTCAATGATTTGGTTGAAATACTAACTTAAGAACTTTTACATTTTTAAAAGTTTATTTTAATATGTAAACTTACCTTTCAAATTAAAAATTAATAAGACAAAAATCATAATTAGATCTCCAATATTTCATCTCCATAAGTATTCAGAAAATAGGGGGCAATTAAGTTGTCAAAAAAATGCCACAAAATCAAGCCACGTGTCAAAATTACGTAAGTTCAACTCTCAAATTTTATATATAAAGATTTCATAAAAATTATATTCATTACACATTTGAAAAACATACTCCCTCCGTTCCACAAAACTCTTTCTCTTTCGTTTTTTTGCTTTCCACAAAACACTTCCACTTTCTATTAAAAAACCACTTTTACCCCTACTTTTTCATGTCTTACCTATCACATCATATTTTTTCATTAATAACCAAACTATCACATCTTACTTTTTCTCATCACATCAGGGACAAAATTGGAAAGTCAACCAAACTTACACTTTCCTTATTTATCCTCAAAGACAAAACCGGAAAGGTTTTGTGGAAGGTAGGGAGTAAATTATACTCCCTCCGTCCACAAATAAACTTTACGTTCACTATTCACAGGGTCAAACTTTATTCATTTTGTTGGTCTATTTTCGTCACCCATTTGATAAAATAATATAGTCATGTCACCTCTACTTTTATAGATTTTTTGATATAGTTTTTTAATATGTAATTTTTATTTTTCAATTTTATATCATTTTTCGTATAAAATGATTTGAAAATAACTTCAGTCAAACATCGTAACGCGTAATGTAAAGTTTATTTGTGAACCGATGGAGTATAAAGTCAACGAGTACCATTCAATTTTGAATTTTCACCGGCAAGCTGGTTCAACTCCACTCTCTTATAATGACAACAAGAGAGTGACTGACTCAGTCAAGGGGAGTAACACGATAAGGCATCGTCTTCTTCTTCTTCTTCTCCATTCCCATTCCCAATTTTCCCTGCTCAACACCTCAAACCACTGAAATTAATCCATCTTTAACCAAAAAAGGGGGAAAGAATAAGATAGAATTATGCACCTTCCAAGCGTGTTCTGTTTGTTCTTCCTCGCCGCCATGTTTGCCGGGGTTTCTTCCCAGCCTCTCGGAAATTACTGTCCAAACAGCACGATTTACGCCCCAAACAGCACTTACCGGTCCAACCTCAACTCCCTCCTCTCCGCTCTGGCCTCCAACGCCACCCGTCAAAACGGATTCTACAACTCCACCTTTGGCCGCGGAGTCTCCGCCGCCTACGGCCTGTTCATGTGCCGCGGCGACGTCTCCGTCTCCGACTGCCGGGCCTGCGTGCTCGACGCCGGCGAGCAGATCCTGAAGGCGTGCCCGGTCCAAACGGACGCCGTCATCTGGTACGACAATTGTATGTTGCGTTACTCCAAAGCGTCGATGTTCGGAAGGTCCGACGCGTCGATCGTGCTGATCATGCGCAACACGCAGAACGATTCGCAGCCGGCGAGGTTCATGGATTCGGTCGGGAACACGCTGAACGCGGTGGCTGTTGCGGCGGCGGCGGGAGACGGATCCGGCCGGAAATTTGCGACTCTGAAGGCGAATTTCTCTGCGTTCGAGAAGATCTACGCTCTGGGCCAGTGCACGCCGGATCTATCCGAATTGGACTGCCGGAGCTGCCTGACGAGCGGAATCGGCCAGCTGCCGGGGTGTTGTTACTCGGCAAAGGGTGCCAGAACCGTCTACCCGAGCTGCAATGTTAGGTATGAGGTGTACCCTTTCTACGATAATAGTAAAGCTCTCGGAAATTACTGTCCCGACAACAAAATTTACGCTCCAAACAGCACTTACCGATCCAACCTCAACTCCCTCCTCTCTGCTCTCGCCTCCAACGCCACCCGCCCGAGCGGATTCTACAACTCCACCGTCGGCGGCGGAGACTCCGCCGCCTACGGCCTGTTCATGTGCCGCGGCGATGTCTCCGTCCCCGACTGCCATGCCTGCGTGATCGACGCCGGCGAACAGATACTGAAGGCGTGCCCCGCCCAAACGGACGCCGTCATCTGGTACAACAATTGTATGTTGCGTTACTCCAACGCGTCGATGTTCGGAAGGGCCGACACGTCCTTCAAGCTGAATCTGCACAATACTCAGAACGATACGCAGAACTCTTTGCAGCCGAGGAGGTTCACGGTTTCCTTGGAAAGCACGCTGTACCGGATGGCAGATATTGCGGCGGCGGGAGACGGATCCGGAAGGAAATTCGCGGTTCAGGAGGCTAATATCTCGGCGTTCGAGAAGATCTACACTCTGGGCCAGTGCACGCCGGATCTCTCAAAATCGGATTGCCTGAGCTGCCTGACTAAGGGAATCAGCATGTTAGGTACGGCGTGTTGTTACTCGTCATTAGGTGATAGAAGCGTCTTTCCGAGTTGCATTGTTAGGTACGATGTGTACCCTTTCTACGCCTCAACACCGCCGCCGCCTCCGTCCCTTATACTAGTTCAAGGTAAGACTCTTCTGTTAAGCGTTTGACTATTGACTTCCAATCCAATTTTTTTAATGAAAAAATTTACTTAAATAGAATTAAAACATTATTCAAATAAATATTCGTCATCACTGAACATTATAGACATTATTAAGTGTTATTTAAGAAATAAAATAATTTAAGTTCTATTTAGAGAAATGACTTAATTTATAGTGCTATTTAATGCAAATATTTCTTTTTTTAATCAACCATGTTAGGGGTACACCTAAAGTATATTCAAAGAAATGTACTTACATTTTTACGACTCACACTTTCAGAAGATATTCGTTCAATTTTAAAAATTTGCACTCATATTTTTTGTCAATATAATTCATCACACTAATATCACACTAATACAAAATGTTGATACATCCCTTTGGGTTACAAAATGAGATACAAATTTTGGTATACAAATGGCTTAATCTTTTTATTAACTCCTTATTTCTTTTAAAATTAATGCCCCGTATTACAATAAAAAAAATAATCGAGAATAATTCTATATTCAATTGTGTTGTTGAATATAAAGGATCAACCCTCTTTATATAGTAAGGTTATAAAAAAAATAAACTTTTAATCATTCTTTTCTTTCTAAAACAAGAGTCATATCAAAATAGAAAAACTATTAAACCAAATCCCAAAAAGATTCAGTTTCTTCTTCTACGTCTTCTTCTCGTAACACTCGCCCTCAAGTTGGACCACGGGGATTACGAGTGCCAAGTCTGGACAACACATAATTAAATTATCTTTGTTTACATGTCATCTGAACAATTCAAGGAAGATGTGCATCGCGTGGTGCATGGAGGTGTAGGCAGAGCTGCTGAACTGCATATGTGATATCAGGACGAGTGAAGGTGAGATACTGCAGTGCACCAACAATGGACCTGTAAAAGGACAGATCGGGTAGCGTCGAGCCAGCTGTGCTAGGTAGTTTCACCTTTGTGTCCACCGGGGTAGAGATGGGGCGGCAAGAGACCATCCCTGCCCGCTCGAGGATATCATGTGTGAACTGAGTCTGGTGGAGGAAGAGGCCGGTGGTTGTGCGCTGGACATTGATCCCAAGAAAGAAGTGCAGGTCACCCATGTCTGTCATGGAGAATTCGGCCTTAAGCTGCTGAATGAGGCTCTAAAGCAGTGTCGGGGAGGATGCCGTGAGTACAATGTCATCTACATACAGAAGCAGATAGGCTGTGCCCATGGGTTGTGAGAAAATGAATAGGGAAGTGTCGACCTTGCATCCTCGGAAGCCGATGGTTTGTATGAAACCTGCAAACCTGTGGAACCAAGAGCGTGGTGCTTGCTTAAGGCCATAAAGAGCCTTCTTGAGTTTGCATACATAATGAGAGCGACTGGGGTCCTGAAACCCAGACGGTTGGCTGGCATAAACAGTCTCCTGTAGTTGGCCATGAAGGAATGCATTTTTGACATCAAGTTGGTGAATGGGCCATCCACGAGACAGAGCAAGGCTGAGGACGATATGAACAGTGGCAGGCTTGACAACGGGGCTAAAGGTCTCGTCATAATCAACGCCAAAACGTTGGTTGAAACCACGAACCACCCAACGGGCCTTGTACCTGGATAACTCACCTGAGGGCCAAATTTGTGTCGAAAAAGCCATTTACCGGTGATAAGGTTTTGGGAGGGGGAGGGGGGCACTAATTCCCACGTGTCATTCTTAATCAAGGCATTAAATTCATCACACATAGCAGCGTGCCAGTTTGAATCTTTTAGTGCACTACGGTAGGTTGGGGGTAAGGTGAGATGGGGACAGAAGTGTTGAGATTAAGGATTTGTTTAGGGCAGAAAATACCGGCTTTGGAGCGGGTTTGCATGGGGTGGTTGTTGGGTGCCGGGTTGGGTTGCTGGGCCGTGGG